AGGATATGAGCACCCACCTTTGGACACACTGGATACGCCGTTGATGCCGTGCTTCTGCTCGTGAATGTGCCACTTATCGTATTCTTGGTAGGTCGCTACCCTTTGTGCTATAAAGGATAAAGGATAAAGCATTTGCCGTTGATCAATCCCTTTTTGGGATGCGGCACGCATTCTACTTCCATTTGTACATTCGTAGTGGCGTTTGAATGCGATGTGGCCTATACAATGACTTGCGGGGGCCAGCCGATGTACAAGTCAGTGTTTTTTATCCTCCCAGACAAGTCTGGTACCAATTAACCGACCCCGGAGGGATGGAAGGATTGGTTGGCCCGACAAATTCACTCCATAACGAATGTAGGGGCACGATGGTACTTAAAGTGAAGTAAAGAAGCAAAAGAAACTGTCGAATACATCTTCAATGAGGTCCCCTCCTTCGGCAGCACTCCACCTCGGTGGAGAGAAAGCGTTCAGACGAGGTTCCCGAACTGCGAATTCAACGGCGGCAGTAGCTGCTCAGTGAATCAATTTAGCTGTGATCTCATACTACCCAGCTGATTGTACTACCGGTCGGTTCTTAAGGTCCACCCAGCCCTTTTTTAGATAATTTTGCTCGTTGGTCTTCATCAATTAACCGCTGACGATAACTACCCTCAATCAATTCTACTGGGGTGGGGAAATTGACAAAGCATTTTGACCAGCGTTTATCCCTGATAATGTCATTTCGAGGGCGTCTTCTGATATAGGTGCTTCTTCTCGTATTCTCTACGATTAGGCGATTAGGATAAGGTAAGAGGAATGGCAAAAATACAGAAAAGAAACATGTTCACAGCATTCCGCCCACCTAGTAGTTATGGGGTTTCCCTTTTGAACAATTGAGCTAACGTTTTAAAAGGTCTCTATGCCTTTGAATGAGGCGAAAATATGGAATTGTTGCAATCAGCAAATGCTCCTCGCAAGGAAGCACATGAAATTCATTGGCTGCAAGAACTTCGCAGCCGATGAGTTTTAGGTGGTAAAATTCATTCTTCCAATCACTTTGCAATGTTTTTCAGGCAGCCCTCACTGAAAGAATAAGTACATGGGATCCAAACAATCTGAAGGAAACCGGAATACCTACTGAAAGCCTTGTCAATCTGTACGATAAATGGGGTCATGGTGGATTTGGGATGATTCTTACAGGAAATATTTGCGTGGATCCGGTAAGTTCATTTTGACTGTTCAGTTTGGTGCAATGTTAGTCAGGTAGACACGTCGATTTCTGGGATACGGTTTTCTCGAAATGGGTGTGATCGAGTGGCACTGGTGCCCATTGCTCTGATACCATGAGAGTTGGTAGACTAACCAGAAGCCTTTGGGGGAGGAAGGAGCACTGTCGCGCCCTCCAGTGGGAAGCAAATTCGTGAGCCAGGGTAGTGTAACCAATTCAGGGGGTGGGGGTTAGTTCGATTATTTCCAGATCATCTCATTACGTCAGCATCATCTCGTTCGTCTCGGCAGTGAGCCCCAGTCCTCACGTACATACATTTCGCCCCTACCGTGCCCGAAAAATCTGAATGCTCACCCAACTGGCATTGCACCTTAGTTTTACTTATCTTCATTTCACCTTGTGGATCTTACTTTTATATTGTGCTTGAGGCTTGATTCTTCGAGAAAGCCACATAAGCAACAATTTTATACTCAGCAATAAATGTCTTTATTAAATGCTTGTAGTTCAATCTGGAATCGGCTGGAAATGTCGTGTTCAGCAAAGAGAACGACTCACCTCGACTGAGAGAAATGACCTCGAGTTTGTTGGCAGCAATGCGGCAGGATGGAGCTCTAGCAATCGCACAATTGTCACATGTAAGTTGTTGCTTGTAAGCTGCAATGATTGTACAGATGCCTAGTTTACTTCAAATAATCCACTAAAACACATGCCCTCTTTAAAGGCAAACCCCGGGATTAGCCCGACTAGTAGGAGGGATACCACGAGGGAAATTGTAAGGTCCTGTACCTACCTAGATCACTCCAGCTTCGTCGCAAAAATTGCGCGGTTAGGGCGCTAATCCTTACGGGCCTGCAACCATCGACCCGTTCCAACGCTTCCCACCCACCGCGAGAGGTGGTGAGATATGTAGAGATCAGCGTGCTCTCTCAAACGACGTGCTCTCTCGCGTATTTTGTCTTCTTTGACCGCCCTGTCTCGCCATCGTACCACATCCGACCTTATTGAAGGTTAAGGCCTTAATTTCAGCGTTCCAAAGATTTCTCTTGCTTTCCTTTCCACTTTCAGGTCGTTCCGCAGCTAAGCTATCACTACAAGCGCTGATAGCACCAGTTCAATCCCGGAGTTTGCCTTTAATTTATTAGGTACCGGATATCTTAATGTCGTTTTTCTGAGTTCAGGAAGTTTCGGGGCCGATTACCATGGAAAATCAATTCTCAGAACGTTCTTTTTGCTTATTAATACTACGTAATATGTTGCTTATTAGTCCCTATTGTTACTTTACAATTTACCTCTCCCCCAATTTTTATACCTTTTTCTGAAAATTCCTGGGTTCATTGCGCAAATTCGTATGTGTGTACCAAATGCCATCAAAGTCGGGCTGGGAGCTACAGATCCGCCAACCAAACTAACATTGCTTTTGTTGGAGGGAATACTACCGTTTGGAATGCTCACCGGTTCTCCTCAGTTTTCTTAAAAGACAGTGAAGTTTTTGAAAGGATGCCTGCAATCGTCTTCAAAAAGATGGCCCTAGTTAAGCCAGCTGAGAAGGGGCTGCACCAGACTTGTGCTGAAATGGTAGGATACTTTCACTGTGATGGATTGATGATGCGCAAACATTCCTATGAATTTGATTCCGCAAGATATTCTGATAAATGTGCTCACCTGCCTCTCACGCGCGCTCAAAAAGGGTGCGTTTTTGACCCTATGTTGCAAAAAAGTCTCCGTAAAAAACTGCCCACTTGGGCTGATAAGTTCTAATTTTTCTGTCGTGCAATGCAGACCCTACGCTAACCAGCTGTATACTTACTTTGTCCAGGCCTTACTTTTTAGCAAGTAAGAGGGATGATTTATCAGAGAGGATGTCAAAACCGACCTGCCTCTCCTTTTTAACTCAAAAAATTCCGAGCTTGGATCGTGCAAGGTTTCCACTCAAACTGTTAGATGAGGGGATCCTAGTAAGTCATTTTATGATTAAACTAATTCGCTCCCCGGGTTTTGAACTGAAATATTGCTGGTCCAAAACTCTTGGTGAAAAAACGACATTAAGATATCCGGTACCTAATATATGAAGTTGATTTTTGCGGATATTTTACAAACATTGTGAAGTGTATCTCACTTGACATGAGGTTTCTACCCGATGAGAGCACTGCTTGCGGGGTAGCGCACGAAACAAGACTTCTCGATGAGTTTGCAATCGTGTTTTAGTTTTCGGTTGAGAAGAAAACGTTGACAGAGAAAACTGTTTAGCCGTGACATATCACTTCATTATATAAACCACAACTTTGGTGTGTCGGTTTGCTTGTAAATTTGTCTGTCTGTCCGCAAAATGAAGTGCGTGATAAGGCAGGTAATGGAGTAACCGAACCGCTAACAAATCTGGCTTGGCTCACATGTTCGCAAGGGAATGATTAATGATAAACTCCAACGGCTATATAAACACCTATTGAGCACACTTTCGGTCATCCCACACGGTGCTGCACTGGAGGGCAGTGAAGGGAGGAGGGGAGGACAGGGAAAGGAGCAAAAAACCAATAGACATCGCAATCACCAATAGACAATAGACTAAGGTACAATTTGGGTACTGATGTTATGAAAAAAAAAACCAATTGGAATTATTCCCGCATACACGCGTCAAGAGGTTCAAATAAATACTTGACAAACAATTGAAAACCGTTTGACACATTCACGACAGCGCAGTTTTTCGCCTTTTGAGGGGACGGGTACGATTTTGCTGCCGCCTCACCTCCTATCCATTCCATGTAGGTAATGAACAAAAACATGAACAGCACAAAGTGATTTAGTAACCTATAATACCTTAATCATTCTGTTATCAAGAATATGCAACAAACTAAAACAAATAGTTGGTAGGCGATTATCAGCTGGCAGCCTACATGGGCTGTCACCGGCGTAGATGTGATATTCAAAGGAAGATGGTAGTTTTGTTTACAGGCAGGGCGACAAACACCACAATCAGTGAATCCACATCCATTCTCGTGCTCTGAGGTTCAGCTGTTGGCAAAACGCCGTTTTATGGGTTTCGGAAAGCCGATTGCGTTGACTGAAGAACAAATAAAGACCGAAGTTGTGGACAGATTTGTCTACGCAGCAAAATTTGCATATGATCAAGGTGTGTTTCTCGTCTTATTTGCTGCTTATTCATAATTTGTTGTTTTTTTTTTGATTTCTGCTAATATCACACATTTCAATTCATTGTTGATAATACAAACCCACGCCTAATTCCCTACGTATGTGTGGAACAGCAAATTCGCTGCCAGCGAATGTGCGAACTTAAAGGCAGTGAACGCGACGGCTTGGAAATTTGGAGGGCGAAGTTGAGGTAGTCGAGAAAATGAATTGATCTGATCACTAGTTTTCTGATCACTAGCCGAAAGAGTGCGGTAGGACCACCTCTTGACAAACTCCTACAAGGACCCCTCCAAGACGCCTTTCAGCCATCGTATCGACTGCCTCGAGTATTATTAAAATGACGTTAAATTCGATATACTTTTGAAATTCAGTATAGCGACAAAACGTTATAGAGCATTCTGACCGACAATGAAGGTAATTTTGGCTCCCTGATTCAAGGAAACTCTTTTTCAGGATTTGACGGTGTGCAATTGCACGGAGCCCATGGGTACTTACTTTCGCAGTTCATGTCGCCGTCGACGAATAAGCGCACTGATAAATATGGTGGATCGGTTGAGAACAGGACAAGAGTTGTGCGTGAAATTTTTGAAGGAATAAGGTGAGATTAAAATTCGTGTAGAATAATATGTGTCTCGACATCAAGGGTTCAAGCCAATCGATCAGTAATGCTACTAATATCAGGAAAGAAGATTGACGCATCCACTGGCTTCCTGATTGGTATTAAGACAAATTCAGTGGAATTCCAAGATGGTGGTCTCGATGAAAATGACGCCACGGCTATTTGTGAAATGATGGAGGTAAGGGAGTTTTGATTACCAACATTTGTACTTGATACTGCTACCACTCATTTTACTTACATTTTCAAGACTTTATCTTGTCTCACTTTTCGTATTTCTTGTGGCTGGAATGGAGGTGGTGTGATGGCAAGTGGCGCCAAAACCCCCTGACTTGTAAATCGCCTGGACCCTCACAATTCATTGAACATATAGGCGAAATCGCATTCAAGTGCCGTTACGATTTTGAACAGAAGTCAAATGCATGGCGCACCCTAAAAATAGACTATCTAGCGCCTTTCTTTCAATTTTTTAGCTCTCGGTTTCACTACATTTTCTCTTCCTTCAAAAAAGCAAGAGTCTAATGATTTGCTCTCAGGCGCATGTTGTTAGTGTTTTGCACCACTCTTGATTTTTTTTGAGGTAACCTGCGCACTTGAGGAAGGAACATATATTTACTGAGGAATCACTGCAAAGTTCTCCTCCTGAACAGTGCTGGGGCGTGGAACGTGATCCGATCTTCTTCACTGTAATTTTTTAATCTCAGAAATATAGTCTCATTTCTGGTTTTTCCACAAGATCAAGGGACTACGAGTGTAGTGCAGGGGGCGCTACTTCCCTCGCGCGCGGTCCGGGGTCAAATCTCGGACCGAATTGCTCGGCTCAACCAAGTCCTCCATTCCTCCGGGGTCGGTCTATTGGTACCAAGCTTGTTTGTGGGGACAAAAACACGTGCATGTACATCATCATCAAGAGAATGCGTGGTGCATCCGAAAAGTGATTTCTCAACTTCAAAAGCTTTATACTTCAGAATTGTTCTGTCCCGAAGTCTCACGTTGATCTAAAGGTGTAATA